ATTCTCAATGGTAGACGGACCATGGCTTAGAGTCCCTTTTGCTGTTAAGCTAACAGTGAGAGGTTTTCGAGGTTTTTATCTCATGGTAGCGTGAATGCGGGTTAGTTCCAACTAAAAGTCTTCCACGAACTCAAATTTCACCCAATACTTGATCCAGGAGTTCTCTTGTGTTCTAGATTGGGTTCAAAGCTAGAAGGCTAGGGAATTGAGCATTAGTAGTCGTAAACCCAAAATTGGGTCAACTGTTCCACGACGGTTATAAAATAAAAGCAATGTGCATGAATAATATGATAAAGCCATGCTCTTATATTATATTTTTTAATACAAACACAAACCGATTTTATTAGTTGCTTTGAGTGCTTGTGTGTGTATTTTTTTTTTCTTTTCTTCGAGCCATCGTTATTTTTATCCTGATCAATAAACTAAGTTTCTTTAAAAATATCTGACTCCTTTTATTTTATATTTTTATTAACAGTAATACAAAAAATATTTCGTGGGTGAAGACACATTAACGGACTGAATTTCTCGAAACCACATTGCCCTTTATGACGAGAAGAATTTTTACGATGGCGTATAAAACCGGATAAATAACTTTATTTTTTCTAACCTAAGCCTTGATAACAAAATGGAAAATTGAGTTTCCAATAACTGCTGCTCTCCTTTTTATGTACTCGGTTTATAGATCTCAATATTATATCTAAAATCTTGTTACAGATCTAGTTTAAAGACCATCAAACCAGTTTCTTCATTTCCTAGATGATTTTAACTGAAACTTGTTAAAGAAAATAAACGCAATTTTCTCCTTACATTTTTGTTTAATTAAACCTTCATCTAGGGAATTAAGATTGTTTTAAGAAACCAATCACTAATTTAATTATAGTTTGCCATTAATGAATTTATTTTTATTTTGTTTGGTGAAAATTTCTCGTTATCAGTATTTAGTTTTAGTAACATTTAACGAAACGAAGTTATGCAGAGAAGATCTAGGAGATTTTTGTTTTGTTTTGTTTTTTGTTGTATGAGATTTTCGAACCAATCTTGGATTTTTTCACGTCACTGATTTTAAGTATGCATTGTTTCTTTCTACAAACAACACTTTATGAAATCTAGTTATATATTCCTGACTGGGATTGTTTTAGAATTCATTTAATTGAATACTAAGTGCCCCCCAATTCTCTGCTACATAAAGAATGGTTAGAAGAAGGAGATAATAAATTTCAATTTATGATGCTATTCGTTAAAGTCATATGTTTTGTGTGATATTGTTATCTTCAAAGGAGCAGACTATGCATTTAAGGAGTATATGCATTTAAATTCATACGCTCTTTATAAACTTGAACATTGAAAACAAAAATGAACTGAGCTGAAAATTTTATTTTTATCTGTAATTAAATTTTGTACCAAAGCAAATTTCAGATTTCAATTAGTTAAGACTAAGTAAGGGGATGGGGGCCAGAGTGGACATCTGAAATAACCTTATTGGTCATATTTTGTGCGGGAGATATCGCAGATTGGCATTACCGATGTACACTTTAATGTTCAGTTGCATATTCACACTGTGAACAGTTTAGTTGAAATTTGTAAAAGAAGGTTTATAAGGTGTAAAAGCAACATTCAAATTTCCATTTTATTATATTTTATTTTCAGGAATCAAACTGAAAGGGATAATATATTATTGTTTTTTAGGTATTTTGATATTTTCTTTTACTCAGCATTTAAGAGGAACAACATTAAAAAAATTTCAAAATCATTTATAGAAACATTGTTATGAAATTTACAAGTATCACAACCCTTAGGAAAATTTCGCATAGGTTTGACATAAAAAAACTACCATAGGATATTCTTATGGGATCTTGCCGATGGCTAGCCTTATAGCTTGTTCACATTAAGCCCCGTATGATTGAGATGAGATAAGTGTGGACAAAAATATTTTTTTTTAAATTATTAGGGAAAAACTAAATCATACCAGATTATTGTTAAAAACTACTTCATGATGTAAAAATTATAATAAATATGGTTTTTTGAATAAATTTATAAATTCAGTTCACATTAGCCTCCCTCACTCCTACTTATATAATTATAACAAAAATTTTGTTTATATCAAAAAATTTGTAATTTGCCCTATCTGTGGAAGTAGTTTTACGTTTTGTAGCACTTCGCTTAAAGTTGTACTTTTATATCTAATCTCTAATTTTCAATTTGAAAAATACAGTGTATACATAAAATATAAACATAAAGCTATGATGAAAAACATTACATGAAAACTAAAGGAAAATTAGTTTTTTTTTAACTCTTATCATTTTGAATGAAATTGAAAAAAAAGCAAACAATATTTCTTACTCGCTATGTTCCTTGATTACGGAATCCTAAAATAATTCTCGAAAAGAAATCGATACTGGCAGAAAAAATATTGCCATTTGCGGCCATTTTATTCAATTATCGTCATTGCCATCAAATTATCTTCATTTTTAGCAACGTTATAAGACAAATTTGCTGTTGTTTTGCCGTTTCACCTCGAAACAAAAAATATTCGTGCTACTAAACTTGCATTTTTTATTAAAAGCATTTATATTTTCATTTTTTATAAGCTGACATTATCTGTTTGACAAATGGGAAAATCTATCATAGCGAAAATAATATTAGCAGATATTTAATGCCGTTACCATTGTTTAAGAAAGTTAAGCAGTTTAAATATTTTGTAAAAATAGCCCTCACTCCAAATTTATTAACTTTCATAAATGATTTTTTTTTTTTAATTAAAAATTGGTAGGTGTGGATTTGCCATCATATGTTGCGTCTGTTCAAAATGTAAGGTAAAACCTCAAAGCTGTGTGTTCGTGAAGGCAAACCATTTGGACAGCGAAAACAACTTATTTCATTTTAATAATGCAATATTTGTTTAAAAACATTATCTCTCTATATATATATTTCTCTTATATGGCACCAAAAACTCGTATTTCTCTATCTATTAGCAACACTATAACTAATATTTATTTTCTAAGGTTGCCTAATTTAAGTAGTGTTAAAAAATTAGTTATACTTCAAGTATTTATTTAGATTCATTTTGTTAAGTTGTCTTAAGGATTAATTTAAGTAGTTTTTAATAGTAAGTTGTATGTTAAGTTGTGTACATTAAAGTACGCTGCGTTAATAATTTTGCATTGTTATAGAAATAAAAACTTAGATACAGAGTTATTATTTAGATTTATTTTTAAAATTTTATAAAATGGGTGTAGAAATTTTTAAACTAAATGGTATGATGGTGACACTTATAGTCATACAAGTTGGATGCCTGCAAGTGCATCGTGGGTATGGATCCTGATTGGCTGTTGATACGCGGCATACGTTTATGCTAACAACTGTTCTTTCTATTCGATATCGTCAAATATGAATTCTCTCAATTGGCACATTCTATGCTCTTTTCCAAATAAAGGTTTGGTTAATTCCTTACTTAACACAAAGACAGACACGAAGTTATGTTTAACATGGGCTGATTATGCAATAAAATGTCAGATACACAACACAAAATAATCACAATTACAAAAAAATTACATAAATAAAAAATAATTCTTTGTTAGACAAAAGTCGCAGACAAGAGAGACTTATATTTTACCAAATTCGACAGGCAATTCAGCTTTGTATTTAATTCATGTGGAAAAACTTAACTAAGCCTTAGCTAGCAATATCCAGAATAATAACACTCCATCTTGTTTATATTTGTTAATAATAATGCTCCTTCTTGTCTCCAGCCAGTATAATGACACTCCATCTTGCGCAGAGGTCATATCAGGTGGTTGTGTAACTGTGGTCTTCTTCTTCTTGAGTTGAGAGTATCCCATTGGACCCCTGAAAGTGACGTTAACATGAACAAATCATAGCATTCGTTTATGCTAATGATTCAGAAGCCAACCACGATTGATACACACGCGTAGTACCTCAAATTAAATCTGATCCAAACATTGATTTAGAGTGATAATGAGCTAAGCCTAATTGCTGTAAGGTTAATCCTCCAATCACAGCCATGTGTTTTAAATCACATGGTTGGGCCTAAACGTGTATTCTTCTTTTTGATTTGCAACTGCCCAGGTTATGGTGACGGAGCTTGCCTTTTTCGAGAAATAGAATATGTGTATACACACTTGCCAACTCTTCCGTTTAACCCGGAAAATTTTAATTTTATATTTAATATGGTGGCAAAATTTATAGAATCACATTTAATTCTTTATTTAATAAATGCGGTTTGAAAGGTTTGCTAGCTCTCTCTAGCAAACCTTTCATTCAATAAATGAAAGGTTTGCTAGCTCTCTGATAGTGTATTTCATTGTTGACTAAATTTCAACGAAACATCAACATACAATCTCAATTCCATTGGATTCATCAGAAAACACTATTTTGAAAAGCCTAAAAACTAGGCAGCCATGTATACATTATACGATACTCAAGTTAATTCTTGAGAGGTGCGAGAGGAAGTAGCACAGCACGCAATGGAGCATTGGAATGAGTTTCCAATCCTGTGAGAAGTTTCCTATTCTGACAGAGATGGAAATAATTTTAATAATTTCACTGCCTACTATGCTGAAATGCCCTATACTCATACTTACAGTGATTTATGGGATTTAATGGTTGCCGGGCAGATTTTAAAGAAGTACCAAACTTAAGCACATAAAGAATTTTGGCAATACCGCGGTTGTCTCTTGAAAACAGATAAAATTGAAATTAAAATACTTCTGCGTAGGCAAAACCACTGGCAACAGCTGGACGGTGAAAAAATGTGGTATGTTATATTCTTTAAAACTAGTTAAGTTGTTTAAATTGAAGGAGGATTGTAGAATTTGAATATTTAAATAAAGTTTTCCTGTGCATTCGGTTTAGTTACCATTAAATTTCATATGTTATAAAAGATAATTTTGAAAGCAGGTCACCAAGAGCCGCTAGTACTATCTAACATTTTTTTAGTCTATCTGAAACGGATATTTTAATTTTTTTTAATTCTTTTTCAGATATTACCAGGAATATAAATATGCTTTTGTGTACCTGTTGGTTACAGTTATGACTGCAATGAGTACTTCCATATATTAAGCTCAAATTGATATTTTTTATCAGGTCAGTATATATATTTTTTATTTCTTTTTACGCTTGCATGTTCATATTTTATGTATTTTGTAATTTTGAAAGTTTTTTTTTAAATTTTAATTTGTGGATAACAGAAATAAAACTTTTAATGTATTCTTCGTCCTATAGAAATTTTTAATTCCCTTTTTACATCATTTCTTTTATTGTTTTAAACAGTGGTTTACTTTTTAAATACGATTCAACTTAGACTTTTGGCTTGCAACTATAAACAGTAAATTTGAACAGTTTCCCCTCTCGTTGAAAATGTGTCAGTTTTTCAGCAAAAACATGAATATTTCTGAGTGATTCATACGTTCCTCATAAATTAAGTTTTTGCTCACTTAAGTTTCGTCGAAGAACTGACTTGCCAGTGTGCCAAATATATATATAATACATTAATATAATACATAAATTACTATAACAATGTGTCTCACCTTGTAGCAATGTGTCTCACCTCTGCAAACAATAACGATTGGCTTTCAACAATTTTTTTTATTATATCTATTTAATATAACTATGAGTCTCTGCTGACCAACCTTTGTGATTAATTCGCTTTAAAGCTGTGTTTTCTTTTTTTTTTCTTTTTTTTTGTTAAAAGTTATCCTTTTNGTTCCTCATAAGTTAAGTTTTTGCTCACTTAAGTTTCGTCGAAGAACTGACTTGCCAGTGTGCCAAATATATATATAATACATTAATATAATACATAAATTACTATAACAATGTGTCTCACCTTGTAGTACCCTCTGGAAACAATAACGATTGGCTTTCAACAATTTTTTTTTATTAAATCTATTTAATATTACTATGAGTCTACACTGACCAACCTCTGTGATTAATTCGCATTAAAGCTGTTTTTTTTGTTTTTTTTATTAAAAGTTATCATTTTCCATTAAAATGAAGAACATTATATTTATTAAATATGTAATCATTATAATTTTAGGCAAAAACGTTTTGTTAAATTGCGTTAATCCTAACAAAACAATCAGAAAAGTTTGGAAAAGTAATTTCTAATAATAATTGCGTGACTCAATAATTAAAAATAAAGTTGAAAAATTTTTACTCCTTAAACGAGACTTTTATCAGTATAATATTTAAAACGATTTTATATATCTTAAATTGAATCTTTTATATTAAAAAAATGACTTTAAATGTTAAGCTTGGCATCTAATAACAATTATTTTCTCTCACTTTTCTCCCTTTTTTGATTATAATTGGACAATGAGCTTATGAAATAAAAAACTCGAGAGAGATAAATTAATTTTCTTCAACAGTGGATTCATAATCATCAATTAAAGCAAGCAATGCAAGAAAGAAATTCTCAGATAAACATTTAAAATTGCAATAAATTTCAAACAAATTCGAATTACAAAAACGCTATTGTTAAGTGCACGTCGATTACGATTTTTCAATGTAGATAGATGATTTCATAAATTTAATAGCGTTATCAAACCTACTTAAAAGTGTTCCTTTATTTTTACTCTACGATTTATATAATAGAGTTGTTATTCGAAACATAATGTACCAAGTTTAAAAATTCTTATAACTCATATCTCCCAAGATGGAAGAATTAAAAATTAAAGTATTACTTAAATATGAAAAAGTGATACAATTAATTCGTATTAATTTGCATCTATGAAAGTGATATTAAATTAAATCCAAAGTACACAAACTCATTCATTATATTCAATCAACCATTAGTTTAATAAAGCTGTAGTTCAAGACTTTAGTTTATATATGCAAATTATTTAGAAATATCTTTCAAGATAAATCTCTTTAAAAGCAATATATTAGGAAATAATTAAAAAAACTTATTTATTCACCCCCAGAATCAAATTGTGTCGCTATTTAAACACTCTATTTTGAAATTTTTCATTACACCGAGATGGATATGAAGCGAATATTCTTTCTGGAAAATGAGCCATCTGTTCGGCCATTTCTAAGATTTATACCGACGAATCTTTTACAGTTAATGAGAAAATCGCTTGATCCATCATTTGGTATGGATTTAATATGCATAGTTCCCCACTTTCTCACTTCTCACGGACAAAATTAATGGACGAAATTTCTAACAGCTATCCATCTTGCTTCTTCGAAATGTTTCTAACCCAATAAAATCGGAAAAATCTGAAAGAAGCAAAAATTGAAATTCTTCAGGCCACCCCACACCATACCATTTTCGTCTTCCGCCACCTTTTGATTATAGGATTTTGTTCCGTAATAGCCACCGAGGATAAATGAATCTGTGAAATTAAATCTCAGAAATTCCAAGTTATCCTTTCGGTTGGAATGAATTAATTCCGTTTGCTCGAATAATCTTTCGCTGGTGAGTGTGCGCATGCGCGAGCATCTATGTAGGTGCGTTCTTCGTGACAGTAGGGGTTAATGGATTGTCGTAATGAGCGCGGAAAATTTGAGAATCACGAATCCTTGATTGACGCGAATCTCAAGATTAATGAAGACCTGAAAATACATCAGATGTTTCAGTATTCATCTTAATATAATTATATATATATTTCATTAATTATCATAAATTAATTAACAATATCAAATTATATTCTCAACATGGTGTTAATTGATTCGATTAAGTTAAATGAATAATGCTATGATGTGTTCTCATCACTTACTTTCTCAATCTCCTGCCGGAAATTAATAACTAAATCGATCTGTACTATATTAATTTTGATATTAAACTTTTTGATTTTTTGAAAAAAATTATACTCTTTGAAAATGAAACAATTGAAACCTCTAATAGTTCTTTTTTCAGTCATTGGATCCTCGTGTACTAAATTGAAATCATTATGATTTTATTGTTTTTTTATTGATGTTATTGTTGTTGTTATTGTAATTCATTTACGTCGCACTAGAGCTGCACAATGGGCTATTGGCGAGGGTCTGGGAAACATCCCTGAGGATGATCCGAAGACATGCCATCCCAATTTTGATCCTCTGCTGGGGGGGATGGCACCCCCGCTTCAGTAGCCCAACGACCTGCACACGAAGTCGAGCACTTTACGGTAGCACAGTTTAACGAGGACCAATACCGCACACCCTCGGTCCCTATGCAGACTGATCCAAGTGGGTCACCCACCCGCACACTGACCGCAGCCAGTGATGATTGACTTCGGTGATCTGCTGGGAACCGTGTCTTAACGATCAGTCCACTGATGATATTTACAGTTGTTTAATTGCAAAATCAAGCATGCAGTTTCGAAACATAAAACACAAACAGTTTAAACAGGATAACTATGACCGTGAAACAAATATGTTTATTTTACATAGGGACATTCAAATAATTTTTCTTATGAATGAGACCAAAATTATTTTTTTAAAAAACATTTTTTTTCGTTTAAACTCTCTTTATATCAGCGGCATTTTCAGAATCTACACTATTTGCATGTCATTCTATAGTAAAACTGACAATACATTGCAAAATGTACTTTACTCTTACAGTAGAAAAAATGTATTGTTCCGAATTTATTCTGAAATGTAATATCTTTAATTAATTTGAAATAAATACAGTCTGAATCAAAGATTTTAAATATACATTTCGAAACCAATAGAAATCACTCAATTTAAACCTTATTTCTTGTGTAACAATAGCAAAAATTCAACAGAACAAAATGTGAAATTTTTAAGGTAAATGTCGTTGTAAAACATTTTCTCTACTGCATGGTGTATACACTTTTCATATACTTTTACATTAAATTAAATACATGAATTATTTTCAAACAGCCGAGTTTTTCAATTAGCTTTTATTGCTTATATTTTTACTCGTACATACTATATACTATATTTTCAATTTTTTACCAATTTTTTTAAGGTGAATATTATATATGATATCCCCTAATTGTCCGTACATTGTTGTAAGCATTTTTTTTTTCGTGAATGTTTACTAATTTGTGGATTATTTTTTTAAGTACTTATTTGAACTTATCTCATATACAAAACTATCAAGAAAGTTATAATATCCGCATAAATTTAATGGTGCACTTGCCAAATTTATTAGAACATTTCAATATTATGGCACGCCAATTTTTCATCGAAATATCAAAATTATTCTTTCAAATCTGCGTTGATACATGAGCCATTAGGCATTTGCAGGAGAAGAATTACATCTAAATTACGAAGTGTAATCCTCTCGAAATCACTTGCAAATCAAATGAGGCGGAGAATTACAGTTCATGCTAAATGAATCGTAAAGAAAGAAAATTGCTCAGAGTTAGAAACTTATTTGAGAAAAAGCTGACATTTCGGTTTCTTCTAACAATTGCAGTTTTCTTTGAAGAAAAAAAAACGTCTATTTCGTCAGTTGCGTTAAATGAGGCATTTTCGTATTTCGCTTCTATAATGGAATCATAAAATGATAAGAACGAATCAAATGCTTTGAAATATAAATCATTATAATCATAGTGTAAAATTCTATGCGGAATGAATGAAAATTTAATAAAAGTTTTTCATTCTTATTTTTCATAATATTTTAACTTTTTTTTAAATATTTATACATAATATTTCTTGGTAGCAAACACATGCGCGCCAAACACGCCACATAGGCGAGAAATGAAATAAACAGCGTTCTTATTAGGCGGAAAGAAAGAAAATCGAAGAATTGCTATATTATTTTGTACAAATATCAATAAGCAGCCCCCTAACAGAAATTATCCAAAACTTTTTTAATGAAAGTAGAATATTTGGTTTTAATTCTCTTTAAACAACGTGGGTATTCTTTGCTAACCTTCTGAGATTATATTTAAAGGATACCAAAAAAATGTAACACCACCGAAATTATTTCAAAAATTTAAATACGCGAAATAAACATTTTTCTTCACTTGCAAGGAGTTAAAATTTTACTGCAACTAATTCTTTCCTTCATCGAAGAACCGTTAAGATAAACTATTTAATTACACGAAAGCTAATTCGAAATTTAAGATAAGTGAGATGCTTTGATATTAACTATTAGAGAACGCGGCTGCAAAACAATATTAACAATAATA